TTTTTTTTTTTTCTTCTTTTTTTTTTTTTTTCCTCCTCTTCTTAAACAAACCACAAACGGATGTGAGGGAAGGAAGGTGTTTCTTTTACTCCTGAGCCCAGACACCTCTCTCTGGTCCGTCTAAGCTTGTTTTGCTGAACACTTAAAAAAAAAAAAAAAAGAAAGAAAGAAAGAAAAAGGAGTTGCTTGATGTGAGAGTGAAATGGACGTGAGATTTTATCCGCCTCCAGCCCAGCCCGCCGCTGCGCCTGACGCGCCTTGTCTGGGACCTTCTCCCTGCCTGGACCCCTACTATTGCAACAAGGTGAACGCTCTGCTTTTGTTTCCGCCGGGGTCTGCCGCCGAGCCGGGCGGGGGGCGCGGGGCGGCGCGGCCGGCAGCTCGCGGAGCCCGTCCCGGGGCGCGCTCGCTCGCAGCCGCTCGAGCCTGCGTGCGCCCGGGGAGGAGTGCGGAGAAGCGCTGGGGCTTTTACCAACCCCGCGGTTGTGCGGAAAGTGACACGATTTGCTCGGATTCTTTCCTGCCTGCTGTTCGCGACTCAGGACCCCTGACTGGGTTTGCCCGGGGTCGTTTATGAAAAATAAAAGCAAACTACGGAGTACTTTGGGGGTGTGTCTGGGGTCCCGGAATGGAGGCAGAGAGTAAGAGAATTCAGTTTATTTTCCAATTTCCCCTTCTTCCTCCCTCCTGCACCCGGGCAGTGCGGCCTCGTGGCCCCGCTTCCCTGCCCGGGATTAGCTGCTGACAGGGAAGCCACCGCGAGTAGGGGTGCAGGGGCCCGGGGGGCACCCCCGCCCCCCGCTTCCCGCCCCCCATCCCCCGCCGGGAAGATTGCTCCACAACTCTTGTTTTTCCAAACCTATCCGGGCGGGCGAGCTCCGTGTTCGCACGCCAAGGCGCAGCGGGGAAGCCAGTTCACGGTTTGGGGCACGGACCTCGTTTATGGGGTGCGCGCGGGAATTGCAAGTTTGTTGGGAGATGAGCGAGAGCGCGATGTGCACGTCGAAAGCTCCCGCAGTCGGCCCCGGGCTGGAGCCCTGGTCCCAAACTGCGCTGTACCTCTAGCTGTCCCCGGGTGCCAGGGCCTCGGGGACCCGGGGCGAGGCTGGCGACGCCGGTGGCCGGGGGTAGGGGCGACGGCTGGGGCTGCTGCGGAGCGCGGCTCTGCCGGCGGATCTGACAGTCGGGAGACGTAGGGAAGGAGTTACTTTCGGGGCGTCTCGAACCCTCAGCCAGGAGAGGGAGGAAGAGCTGGGACCGGCCTCCTGGAACAGCCTCGGGGCGTCGGCGGTCCCTGCCTCTGGCTTGCTGGACGTGTATAAGCAGTGCCGCCCGATGAACGTAGGCGGAGGAGAGAATAGAGTTCTCTGGTACACGGGTGGTTTAGACGCCCGACTCCTGCTTGGGAAGTAAACCTGCCTGACACGGCCCCTGCGGGCACTGTCATGTTGGCCCCGCGGAGAATTCCGCAGGAAAAAATCGTTGGGGCTCCCAACATTTTCCTTGTGGCAAGTCGCCATCAAAAAGCTTTTTTTTTCCTTCTTTTTTTACGTGATATAGAGGTAACTGGCGCGCTGCATCCTCAGCCCCCGGGCTCCCCACCACGCGACTGACCCCGTCCGCAGCCCGAGTTTTGGTCAGTCGGGACACACACACACAGCACACACACAGCACACACACAGCACACACACAGCATACACACGAACACAGCACACACACAGCATACACACACACACACACACACACACACACACACACAGCTGTGAGTTAAGTGAACCATATACATCACCCCCTAGAGAAGCGCCTTGATGCTGTATACAATGTGGGACCCAGGAAAAGGGAAGCGCTGTGTGTCGCTGATGTTTCGGCAAGTTTGCAAAGAGGGGTATCCAGTCTTGGGCAAGGCAGAAAGGGCTTTCATCACCCAGGGACCCCTTTAGCTAGGGGTGAGTTGGAAGGTACGTGGAACTTTGGAAAGAGCAGAGGAGTTTGTGTGATGAAGTTTCATTATTTGTTGGTGACATGGTTATTTTAGTCTAAAATTGCTCTGCCTTTATAAGCAAGTATTTTGTGTTTGTCAACATTTTACTTTGCTTATAACACAATTACTGCTACTAATACAAATAATAATAAAGTAGCAGCCCTGTCTCGGAGTGTAAAGACATATCCCACAGTCTTAACGGAAACAAAAAGGTCAGAACAATTTTGGCAATTAAACTAGACAAATCTTATTAAATTTACCAGTGATTTTAGGCTCCAAAAAGAAGGTAATGACTTGGATACACATTTCACTTGTCATTCTTGAGATAGTAGGGTCAGGTTTAATTTAAAAGTTAAATGCTTTGGAAAATCAGGAATTACTTCAATATATTAAATCATTTCCAATTAAGTGCTTTAAATAATTTTACTGGGTTGTGCTGTGAATTGAATAAATTAATTTAGAAAGTCTTCAGAATTTCTTTACTAGCTCATTGAAGTTCCTTTTAAGTCACACCATGTATGAAGGAGCAAACTGTTCTTTTTAAATGCAGATTAGCCACTCTTTCTATAGACTAGTTGCAAGTCTTCTATTTAGCTTATCCAGGGAATAATGGATTTTTAAAAATGCAAAGTCATAAGACATGCTTATAATAGAGGGAAAAGACTTTATGTAAATGTTTCTCACAGGACGCCTTCTCCTGCTCATCTCGGTGTAGCAGTCTATCAACTATATTTGTCACTGATCCCTGATTATATTAAGGGGGCTGAGGAGGTTTGCTAGGCCCCAGAAAGCCCAGGCTCTTCTTGTGCTTTCTACTCTGTCGTGTTAAGCAATGGTACAGAATTTCTGTCCAGGTCAACTCTTCTGGTTGCTTAGAATACAGTCAACTGGCATTCATTTTTGTGATGACTCAAGTGGATTTGCTGGGATGTGGAAGAAGGAAAGAAGTTTGGAAGATGTGCAGCAAGAAATCTGCATCCACATGTAGTAAAAACAAGTTGCATCAGATGTCTCCCAAAGAGACAAGAATGCAAAGTGAACCTTGTCCCCTTCAGAGCTGTGAATGACCATGTAGTTTATTACAAGAAACACTTTATCAGGTTATTTGTTTTTAGTGGAGTGATGAGATCGTAAAGTTCTAGTTTATTTACAACCTGTCAACAGTTTACTGTTTAAAGTTGGTGCGCTAAATCCCAAAGGAACCACTGTTTGTGTGCTTCAGTATCATGCAGTTGAACCTGTAGTTTCCCAAGTATGTTTCATGTCAGAAGAGATTCTAAGCGAGAAAATGAATACACTCTTCCTAAAGCTTTTCTATACTAAAATCTGATTGTTTTACTCTGCTGACACTTTCCAGCACCTCGCTGCTTTATGGCTTGCCAAAATACGACTTACGGTTTTCATTTAAATAAACTCTGTAGGAGGAATTCTGGGGGGAACATTTTAATCTCCTGTTGCTCTGTTTATTGTACCAGCCTATTACATTATGAACATATCACTATGCAAACTGGCCTCCATTTTCACATAGCCCATTGCGAAAGAAAAACGAGAACAATGCCAATGATGTTGGTTATGGCAACTGTGAGGGATCGCTTATACAAACAGTCAGAATGGATGGCAGGTTGCTGTATATAGGTCAGCCTTTGAAATAGCAGTGTAGCACACAGACCGGGCAGACACATGTAAGCTGGAGATAACTGTGTTCACCTCTCGCAACTTAAAGCCTGGTTGTATTTCGGACATTGAGAGATGGATACCATAGTCGAGTTTCATCTAATTAGGACTATTTTAAGTAACATTGCATCCCTTAATTGAACTGAATGTTACCAAAAGAAATTAGATTAAATGAGCTTAGTGGTACAATACAGCCCTATTTTTTGTTCTAGATGAGGACGTCAGGTCATCAGTTTAGATATATGTACCTCCAGAGTAATAACAGTACCTTTCAGTTTTCTTAGAGCAGTGTCATTTCTAAAGATTGTTTTCACTGATTTTATGCTAAATTAGGACAAAGAAGTGCCATTTTTTCATTTTTACAACGATGTGATGTGTTTGGTTATTGCTCAGTATCTGCCCACATAAGGAGTAGTAATACAATTATGTTATGACATAGCTAATGACAGGGATGCTGGCCCCTGCCAGCAGTGGGAGAGGAAATAATGGTCTTTACTGTTCTCAGTGGTTGCTTTTGTGGAATCATGTCCTGAGTCTTTCTTTGCTTAATTTAGAAACAGAAATGTCCAAAACACAAACCCATGCTTAATACTAGCTATGTACAGAGTAAGGAATACTGGGCATTTGGAATGTTGGGCTTTTGTCATTAAAATGAGGCAGGACAGTGCATAATATTTCTACATAAACACAGGAGGAAGGATCTATTTGTGATGAACTCTGCTTTAAATGGCAGGGCAAGTGTTCAACATTTGATAACTTTGGAGAAAAACATGGTTCATTATCCTCTCTGCAAAATCTCCTCTGAGCTTATTTTTCTATTTAAAGTGCATTATGTATTGTATTTCAACATGGTAAAACTTGTCACTTCTAAAATACAGGATCTGCAAGCACATTAAGATGGAGTCATTATTCCTCTTTTAATTAATAAATGTAAGGAAAAGGAGGTGGATGGGAGGAGAAAGGGGAGGGCCATAAGCAATTTAGAGCATCATGCTTGATTAGTCCTGCCTCCACCTCCATAACTTCTAGGACTTTGGGAAATTCATGGTCTGTACTTGGTACATCATTAGTGTAATTCAAACTCCTGCCTTGGGAGTTTTATTAGTTGGCAACTTTCATAAGTTCTGAGGTCTTAAATATGTTTTAAATACATTTATAGGTAAGAAAGAGAATAAACTAAGGCATCATACAAAAATCTCAAAGGTAGCTTTCGTGACTTTGTGGGATATTTCAATGCCACAAATTCCAGTTTTAAATGTCTAGGCAAAAATTTGTAGTTAAGAGCTTTGGAGAAATCTGACGATATCTTTAACATAGCCTTTTCCTATGTGGGTTAGTATTTTCATAGTTCATTGTATACTTTAAAAATACGGAATGATGATATTGAGGCGCATTTTGATACTTTGTTGACTTAGAATCTCTAAACTGATATTTAAATATTATCTAATTGACAGTTTATTGTAGGTTTTTTTTTTTTTTTACTTGATGTGATCTCAAGGAGATGAAGAACAGTGGCAAAAAAAGTATGGCACTTCAACCTGGAAGAAGTAGGGAAATTACCAAGTTTAACAGTGGCTTCCTCGCTACCAAAACTGGGTCTCAGATTTTGATCTTGGTGTGTGGGACTATTTCTTGTGGTCATACTTTTT